TAATAAAGTACTTCTTACCTCCTCTAGTTTGAACAAATTTTAAATCACAGATATTTATGTGAATTAAACTTAGCAGTTCAGTACTTCTTTCTACTTTATTAAATGATGCCCTAGTAAATTTTGCTTTAACACAAATCTCACATTTATGATTAGGATCAAATTTTAATTTTGGTAAACATTCTAAAACAACAAGTCTACACAAAGAATTAAAATTTACATGTCCTAATCTATCATACTATAAAAAAGAAGACTCAGCAATATAAACAGAAAATGTATTCTTATTATTAATAGCCAAATTATATACAACAGTATTTACATTAAACTTCAAAAGCCCATCACTCATATAACCTCGCCCCACATACATGTCACTTTTGGAGAGTACAACCTTGTCTGATTCAAAGACTAATTTAAACCCATTATTGATCAACAATGACCCATAAATCAAATTTTTACGAATTTCTGGCACATGAAGTACATTGTTGAGTGTGAGTTCTTTCCCCGAGGTCATTTTCAGCACGATTTTTCCTTGTCCTTCCATAATTGAAGTGGAGGAGTTTTCCATAAAAAGCGGTTCCTTATTTTTCACCACTTTGTAGGTTGTGAACATCTTCTTATCTACACAGATATGACAGGTTGCTCCAGTATCCACCCACCACTCCTTGGGATTGCCCACCAAATTTGCTTCAGAGACTACTACAGCAAGATTGATATCTGCCACTCCATCAGAAAGATAAAAATCATCGGCTATGTTGGTTTGTGTTGGCTTTTTTCTTGAACTCCCTCCATCCTTGCAAACATGACAATCTATAGCGCGATGTCCATCTTTGCCGCACACAAAACACTTGCCTTTGAACCTCTTGTTGAACCCGTTGTCGATACCTTTGATCTTATTAGAGGATCCTTATTTGGGACCATTGCTATCATGTTTTCGCTTCTTATTGTTGAACTTTGACCCATGTTCATGTTTCACAACATTTGCTTTAGCTTGCATGACATGGTTTCCTGACTTCTTATCGAAACCACGGTTGTCCTCCTCAATCTTGGGCTGCATTATCAGTTCTTCTAATTTCATCTCCTTGCGCTTATGTTTTAAATAATTCATGAATTCTTTCCAAGATGATGGTAATTTTTCAATGATTGCCGCTACTTGGAAAGATTCACTGAGAACCATCCCTTCTGCATGTATGTCATGGAGAATTAATTGGACATCTTGAACCTGGCTAATAACCGTCTTGGAATTTATCATTTTAAAATCCAGAAAATGGCCAACAACAAATTTCTTTGTACCGGCATCCTCTGTCTTATATTTATGATCTAGAAATTTCCACAATTCTTTAGCAGTGCTTTTGACACTATACATATTGTACAGTGTATTGTCCAACCTATTGAGGATATAATTCTGACACAAAAAATCACCATATTTCCATGCATCGACTGCGACAACCACTTGCCGGTTAGTTTCTCCCTCGTTTAGTGCCAGAGCCTTTTCATGGGTGAAGCGAGCCAAATTCAATGTAGTAAAATAAAACATCATTTTTTGCTGCCATTTTTTAAAAATCATCTCCACTGAATTTTTCTGGCTTCTCCCCATGATTTACTAGTACTGCCGGAGTCATTACTGGTACAACAGATGTGAGGGTTTGAGTAATAACAGTCTCAGTATTATTTATTTCAGTTGTCATAATTCTGACGAAATAATAATACACCAATCACAAATTTATACAGAAAAGAATTTATATACAAAATATACAGAAAAATATTTTGTAACAAAATTTCAATGATAAACAGTATATTACTACTATATTATCAAAGAAATCATTAAACAATATATTACTATTATTTAAGAAATTAAACAGTATATGATTACTATTTAATTTTCAGAAACAAAATATTCATCTATCTAGCACAGAAATAAATAAAAATCGGAAATCTACTTTAAGATTATTATATCCACAGTGGTGTATGTGTGTGTGTGTGTGAATTAAATATATAAATTAAATAAGCAACAAAATAAAATAATTTAGAAAATAATTATATAAATTAAATTGCCGAATTAAACGTTTAGTCGAGCTTGTGTTGAATATAATCACCTTAAAGTAGATTTTGCTCTCGCTTCGGTGCTTCGAGATTTATAGGTGTCTACTTCCCAGGATGTAACGACTAACACTTGATTTTACAACACTATAAAATCAAGTCAAGCGAACCAAATAATGTTATAACTCTTTCTGTTTCTTCCTAAAAAATTAAATATAGAACAGATGCAGAAACACAAAGACAAAAATAATAAGAAGGGCGAAAATCTGATGAAAAAATCTGATCCAAGAATTACTGGAATGCAGGCTTTATATAGGAAGAATGGTAACTTTTCCGAACAGATAGAAACTTGTTTAGATAGATTGAACAAGTACAAATCTGTTTGAATAGATATAAATTTAAATTCAATAGGTATGAACTTGTTTTGAATCCTTTGAACCTGTTCAGGTGGGTTTGAACCTGTTAGGGATCTATTTGGATGGAGGAAAAATTCTGGACCGATTTATTTTGAATTTTTATTTTGAATTTTGAAACCAAAATTAAAAATAAATTACAAAAGTTTTTGACTCAAAAAGATAAGTATTGGACTGGACAAGCCCAACCCAACCTCACACCATGCACTCGTGTTTTGGATCCAATTGGTCTAGTCCACTTTACTCATAACCTCACCCTTTCACAAACTTGGGTACCTCTTGGGGCCCATCCCAAGTATCTCAAGCTAAGGTATATAAACCCATACAAATCCATAAGCCTTTTTAATATGGGACAAGCACATTTCACAAATGTGTAAAAAACTCACCTAAAGCCATTTTCACGAACCTAAAAATACGCGTTGAATTCTCATTCATCCGGAAGTGGTTTTGAGCAACCAAATACATGGTTTTATTCACTACGTGACATTAAACATGGACCCAATGAAAAACGTTAAAAATAACGCTAGGGTCCCATCTTAATTTATGCTCAAAATTAGTAAAAATTAAGAATTTTTAAAGCCATTTTCCAACTGCTCTATCATATGTTGAAGTCATGATTTCATTTCAAAATTGGATATTGAACATGCCATTTAAAATTGTAATTTAAATTTGTAATTTCAAAAAGTGCTATATTTTTGCCAAATAATTTTAAAGTGCAATGATTTTATTAAAAATTGTAATTTTAAGGTCCATTATCCTTTACTTGAACCATTAAAAAGTTTGTTGAAACATAGCCATCTAAAAGACCTCCAAAACATTTGAAACGTAGCAGTAGACAACATGCTAGACCTAGTGGTCTATCGGTCTATGAAGTGAAGGAAAGGAAAAATGGTGTACACAAAGCTACTTTTTCATATAAAAATTCCATCCATTATGATGAGTTAATTGAAATTTAAAAATTCTGAGCCCAAGATTGGTATTTTGTTTGAAAATGAGAAGATTACAATGAATCACATTACTTTGTATAAAATATTTATCTGTATAACATAACTTATACACACAAATGATACAAAACTCCATATAGCTGGACTAAAACTAATATGACCCTATTCTCTCTTACTCACATAAGCATTACGTATTTCATTTTTTAGGTAATGGCATTGAGGTACATATAATAGAGTGGGATGTGCAAATAAACAAAATTATCATGGGAAAACTGGTGTTTTTTTTATTTTTTTTTACATAAGGTAGATTGTTATCAAGTTAATATATTAAAGTTAGCGCATACTTCTATTTAGAAATTCTTAAAGTACAATGATTTGAAATATACTCCATTTCATATACTATAAGAAAACTATACTTTTAAAGCCTATTTGTTTTAGTCCAATCTTAATGGGACTGGATTAATAATCTATGAGTTCTATAAATATTGTTGGAATGATAATTTTAGGACAAAGAGTCCTTGGGACTACTAATACCCTCCAAGGAGGGGATTAGCAAACCCATGGGAGAAGTGTGATTGGTATTCTAATCCCATGGGATTAGAGGATTGGAGAAGAAAATACAATTTTGCCCTTCATTTTACAAAAATAACAAAGTTTTACTTTATATAATGAGATTTTTTTTACCTAATTTCTTATATTTAGACCATCTCCAACGGTGAACCAAACCCAGCATCAGATTTAAATTTTGATGAAAAACCCACTTTTTCACGCTCCAACGGTTTCACCAAAGTCATACCAAAATGAGAATTCAGCAAACAAGACATCAAACTGAGATCAAGACACAGATTTTACCAAATCACTGTTATCATTTTTTAGGTAATGGCATTGAGGTACATATAATAGAGTGGGATGTGCAAATAAACAAAATTATCATGGGAAAACTGGTGTTTTTTTTTTATTTTTTTTTACATAAGGTAGATTGTTATCAGGTTAATATATTAAAGTTAGCGCATACTTCTATTTAGAAATTCTTAAAGTACAATGATTTGAAATATGCTCCATTTCATATAGTATAGGAAAACTATACCTTTAAAGCCTATTTGTTTTAGTCCAATCTCAATGGAACTGGATTAATAATCCATGAGTTCTATAAATATTGTTGGAATGATAATTTTAGGACAAAGAGTCCCTTGGGACTACTAATACCCTCCAAGGAGGGGACTAGCAAACCCATGGGAGAAGTGTGATTGGTATTCTAATCCCATGGGATTAGAGGATTGGAGGAGAAAATACAATTTTGCCCTTCATTTTACAAAAATAACAAATTTTTACTTTATATAATGAGATTTTTTTTACCTAATTTCTTATATTTAATACCAACCAACTAATACTATACATGAGTAGTGATACATAGTTTCAAAATAGTAGTTCTAATGAAAGCTCTAATGAGGTGAAAGAGAGAGAGAGTAAAGAGAGATAGACAGATTATTGTACTATATATTATTATGCACAAACAAATGCAATTTATCTTAGAGTTATGCTAAGGACCTAAATAAATTACCAAACAAATCACCAAATCTCTCACATGGTGTAGGACACACACAAATCACATGTGTGTTGGTCTCACGCCTATGTGAGAGGTTTGATAATTTATTTGATAATTTACTTGAAATCCATAACATTTTCATACCCTTCCCGCACTAATAATTCCTCTACTAATAATTCTATCTAACCTAATCAGACAAACAAACTGGTAATGTCATGTTTTGGCAATGAAAATTTTTTGTTACTTGCCATTTTTTAAAGATTTTTTGGCTGAGTTTTCAGAATTACTTTCTAAAACAAATTCAAAAAATTATTTGATAAAATAAACACTAAAAAAATTTCAATATTAGAGCCCATCTGAAATCGCATCTACGGTTTCCCGAATCCTAACCTCCCGTTGCCGTACCAAGCCTGGAGAAACCATTGGAGAACATCTGAAATCACATCTACGGTTCAATGTCTTCTCTCATTGTCTCTATTTTGCTTCGTGTTATTTGATTTTGGGGCAATCTCGTAACTCTAATTTCATAACAGATTACACGACGGTTCTTTACTACTTCTACGACAAAACATCTCGAAATCACCATATACAGTTCAAATTTAAGGTATGCTCTCTATTTTGTTTCTAATTTTTTTTTTCCAATTAATGCTCAGTTTTGATGTGTGAGGTGTTCTTTGATGCTCTGCGTCATGCTTTTCTGATCTTTCTCCTAATGGTTGTTTAGAGAGAATATGTGCCTGTGGCCTGTAAGAAAGTATGCGACTGCTTTTTGTTATGTCTGAGAGAGTATGGCCATGAGAGAACAATCCACTTGTTATGTCTTGCATTAGCATTGCACACCGAGTGTTTGACGGTATGTCAGAGAGAAAAACCATAATGATCGTTTATTAACATATAAAAATACAGTTTCTACTACTAGGACTTTGAAAAAAAAGGGTGAAATCATAGTTTATGAATTGAAATTTATTAAAGTAATTAATTCAAAATGAAATTATTTCTTTTTTGCAACCAAACAGGCATGTGAAGCTCAAACATTGTCATACAGCAACATAGTTCATCATTTTTTGCAATTACCAATTATTAAGAGGCTATGACCAAAGGCAAAAAAAGCTGACTATGAAGATGTCATGTTATAAGATAATTAGGGTGGAAAAAATTTATATATGGTATAGTATAGATAACTACAATTTCTTTTTTCTTTTTACTAAATGGTAAAATCGTGTCTTTAAAATTAAATTTACGCTCCGCTTGTTTTGGACGAAAATATTTTTTGGAAAACGTTTCTTGTATTTTTTGATGTTTTGGACTTATTGGTGTTTAGTTCAATTTTTTATTGTTGTAATCAATTTTAAATTTCTGAAACTCCTGCAAAGGTTTAGTTTCTTTTTGTTGAGTCACATACACAATTTGAACTTATGTTTCGAACATGGATAATTGGGTGTTCAATTTGTGAGTTTAATAATAAGATTATGCTGCTTGCAAGGTTAGAGAATACATGCAGTTTGTGATCCTTCAAATGTCTTCTGGAAGTTTGAAGGCTTATGACTTCCAAATTTTGTGACCTCATTCAAAGCTACAAATTATAATCAACCAAAACCAAGTTTGAAGTAGCATAAACTGTTATCATTAATGAAGTAGTTTTTCCTGTTTTTGTTATTGATGTCTATAAATAGTATTGATAAATTATTCAATGAATTAGTCATGGATGAACTGTAAATGGTACACTTTGAACTCCATGATTCAAATAGCTATTGTATCATATTGTCCATATTCTTTTTTCATGTTTGATTGCCTAACATGCTAAAAAAGAAAGACAAGGTGCTTAGGTAAAATGGTACACAAACATAATGGTAAAGACAAGGTGCTTAGGTAAAATGGTACACAAACATAATGGTGTCTCAAGTATTTTTGAAACTATGAGCCTAAGTAATGGATATTTTGTTTGAAAATGAAAGAATAATTGGCAACCAAATCATTTTGTGTAAAAGTATACAATAATGTTTGAGAGCTCTAATGCAATTCTAATGATGTGGAGAGTACCCATGTGAAGGTAGGACCCACACTCCTCTCTCTATCTCTCTCTACTCTCTCTCTCTCTCTCTCTCTCTTCCACCTCACTAGAGCTCTCTCAAATTAGAGCTATGTATCATTACTCAAAAGTATAGATTTCATTGTATTCCTTTTCATAGTGAATACAACCAAGCAATGATTTGGGCCATCAATAAAATTGACCCACGACACTATTTGTCAAATAAATCAATGATACTACATCTTCCTCACTTTTATTTGATTAGTAAAAGGGAAAGTCTATAGTCAGAGAGAGATGTATATTGATATTGGGGGTTCAACTCTCCCAAGTTGCTAATATAATAACTAATTATTGATTTTTCTCCGATCAAAAAAAAAGAAAAAAATTTAGTGGCAAGTGATCTCATTAATATTTAGCAGATCCTAGCATAAACGTTCTCAATACCCAATGCCCCCTGCATCTTGAGCTGCTACCTCCAATTTAAGCTGAATTGGACATTGTTTTTTGAACCTCTAAATACTAACATTTTTCATCATGTAATACTACTTTTTTGTCCATAATTTTAATTTTTTAGAATAGAAATTAGCCTCATTTCAGGGATCCTTATCAAAGGCAATGAAGTAAAATGAATCGGCAACTTGATTTTTCACTCTGTACAAAATGAAGCAAACACTTCTATAAACCATAAGTTTTCTTTTATTATTTGCTTATATTTTAAACTTCTTATAGTGATTTTTTGAGCCACAGTTTTCTTTCAGTGCCAAATTTCAAGTCAACAGTGCAGCTTTCGGGTTATTAGTTAAAAGCACAAAATTTCCAAAGGTCCAACAAAATGTAAAAACTTTTAGTTGTCATGACACCCAAACACTAGTCCATGCAAATTTAAGGTCCTAATTCAAAAGAGAAAAGCACTAGCCTCTTCAATCTAGGGAGCTTCAAGGTCATTTAAAATTCAACATAGTCATATTTCAGTAAGAAAAAATGTGTGAAATTGGTAGCATTAGCAAAAGGCCCTCAATTGATGAATAGAAACTTATTTTAAGACAATTAAGGTGAAGACGCTTGCGTTCTCTCTTTCACACACAATTCAAGTGGACTAAGAGCAAACCCTTAATAATTTAGTATAATGTTAATATCTCGTTATGATTAAATGCATAATATTATTATTTAATATAATAAATCATCATATGTAAATGTAATAAATATTATGTATCAAATGTGATAGTTATTAAATTATATTGAATCTAATAATTACATTTAAATAGTATTTATCATACCATGTGATAATTTATTATTGAATGATAATATTACATGTTAATAATTATACGATACGGCTATTACACTCATTTTTAAGTCAAACCCCTTTGCACCCACACACCATTCAAGTGAACCATTACTAATGCCCCCTCATGCCTCTCGGGCCGACCCAAGGCCTAAGTCACTCAAGTAGTGGCTTTAAGCCACGATTTGAAAGAGAACCCAAATTTTACTTTGATCAAAATTACAATAATATTTTATCTAGAAATAAAGCCTACTAGCAACCATGAAGGGTGATGGAACAAGAAGGGTGATATGAGGTGCCAACACCTTTTGCACTTATAACCATGAAAACCCCAAACACAACCACTGTCACAAAAGAAACTAAAACCACACTAAAATCGGACAAGCAGAGAAACTTTATCTCTAGCTTATTTGAATTTCAAGAACCACAAATGAAACTTAGAAATATACTAATGAAATGATGACAAGTAATTTAGTGAAGTGCTAACATTACACCCGAAAGATCATAAACAAGATAAGAAAAGGAAAAGTTACAGACGTATACACTTACTCTAAACGATCCCACATCAACAAATTTTACAACTCCACATGAGAAGTAAAGTCGAAGTTATTTATTGAACGCACAGCTGATGAAGACAACGTAAGGATCACACCAACATATAGATTGTAGCCCCTAAGCATCCTCAGAGAAAATAGGGCAGTCATAAGCATGATTTGATTTGATTTGCTTGTATTTCCTACACAAACAAATTGAAACCCAAAAGAAAATTATGAGAAATCGAACTTAAATTTTCAGAAAGGGTAAAAATCTATTATGTCATGCACACATATATGGAAGAGAGTTGTTGGGAGACACACCTTTGGATTTCATGTTTGATAAGATTTTCCTAGTCTTGTCTCAACCCATTATTTTCACAAACTTTTTTTATCTTACGTAATACATTAACTACATCTTGAATCTGCATTCGATCCCTTGGTGATTCCATTGAACATGCAACTCCAATTCTCAAGACAGAAACCAGATTGTCTTTAAGCCAACTTCTTGGCTCGTGTTCTGAAAGAATGCGGGGATCCACAATCTCCGGCACTTGGTCGGGCAAAGCACTCTCAACCAAGATATGAAGAGTTAGATCATCCTTAAATACGTTATCAGTTGGTCTTTTACCTGTAAACATCTCCAAGAGAAGAATCCCATAGCTATACACATCGGCTATTGTGGAAGCCCTGTTGCCCATGGCATACTCTGCAAATTGATTTAAGTGTTAGTACCCAACAGTTTGCAAATTGAGAGTCTGATTAATTCACATAGTTGTAATAGTTGGAAGAAACAATCTTGTTGAGGGCATAATGTTGCCTTTTCACATATGTCAATAACAATTTTTCAATTTTTTGTGTTTGTTCATGTGTGAGATTGGGAACCCAAAATATGAAATCAAAACTGAATGTAATATGTTATACTGAAAAAAATATATTGTCTTTTGATTGAATCAAACAAAATGAGTCAGACATGGATATTTCTTTCGTAATCAAATTTGTAAGTTTCCAAAAATAATGGAGTCACAGAGAGTTTGTAATGGCTTACAAAGAGTTTCCATCATTGTCTCTGCAAATTCAATGAATGATTTGAATATTTTTTGTCAGACATTAGACGGCCTAGAAAAACTAGTGTGCTTTATTGGCAGTTGTACTTAGAAAAAAGGTTGTTCAAGTTGGATCGACTTAAGTCTTGGGATATACAGGCAAATGCCAATATAACAAGGTTACAAGAAGATGAATCAACAATATTTCAATTTTTTTTTTTTTTTTTGAATAAAGAAACGAAAACACAATATTTCAATTTTTTCCCCCCTTTTTGTGAGGGAAGGGGGGTAGGTAGGATCTACAGTCCCCACCCACCCATTTTATACATGTGAGAATTTATTTTTCTGGCTTATTACCAGCATTTTGAAGATATATATACCAATGTCGACCCAACAATAAATCTCTCTGACTAAACAATACACCAAGTCATCCTAATTCCCTTTGGAATTGATTGTTTGTTCCATGATTTTCATCTTTTTCCAAATTTTCCATATAACTTATATAAATCTAACCAGTAAAAATAATTCTTTATTACATCATTTCTAAAATTCAGACAATCTTAGTAAGCTTTTGGAATATGTTACAACTAATAAATGCTATAAGATATAAATGTTGGATTCTTCACATTGGCAAAAGCGGTGGGTCTTGATGTGCTTAAAATTACACACTAGAATCCTAACTAGATAAATAAATAAATAGGAAAATAAGTCAGGTTTATGGACAAGTTCAGTCCGGCTAACGACATCAAGCACAATTAAATTTCCATAAGATCAAAATGGTTGCATTTAGATTGAACTCAAAGTTGATTTGGTCATAATCCAAGGCATTTTGATGGTAACTACTAACTAACAAAAATACAGTTCAAAAGCAATTCTAGTTCGACAATCCATTCAAGCCAGGCAAGAACACACCCAAGAATGGCTATAATGACAAAGCTATACAACATATCAGGGGGCACTCATTGGCATGTGTGTCAAAGAGCTCTTAAAATAGGATATCAAAAGAAATGTACGTCTTTATAGTAAGCATATGTAGGAAGGGTAATGTTAATTTCTTCTCGTGCGTTTGTGGTTGCATGATTATAGGGATTATAAAGAACCCATACCTGGAGCAACATAGCCTATAGTTCCCCTTACTGCAATTGAATTGCTCTGATGTTGTACCACCTCAT